GTCTCTCCTTCTCTTAACAGGTGTGTCCAGCATCATGGCCTCCTCCCAGTAACAGCAGGCATTTAATAAAGATTTGTTGACTTAACCCAGTGCTGTCTCTTCCTCTTCCTTGCTGGTTTCCTGCCTCTGCCTGCCCCTCGTCCACCAGAGGGACACCAGGAGCAGGCCTCTGCCCTGCCACGTGCTGGAGGTGCCTCTGCTCTGGCTGGTCCCCACCCCCAACTCCCCTGGTAGGGTTTTTGCCTCCTTTCTTTTCCACCTTTGACTTCCTCCCTTCCCCCACCCCTGCCTTCCTGACCTTTTAGGTCATGGGTGGATGAGTCAGCAAGGAGAAGGAGGCAGCTCTGACATCCCAGAGCCCAGCCCTGCAGCCGGCAATCCTGGGCTTTTAGAGGAGTGGAGGGGAGAGTGCTGTCTTTCTCAAATCCTGGCTCTTGCTGTGTCCTTGGTCCAGTGACTCCACCTCTCAATCCTCAGTTACCTCTTCTGTGGAAGGGGGAGAATAATGTACCCTTTTGAAAGCTGTGAGCGTTCCATGAGCTCTTGCCAGTAAAGGTCTTAGATCAGAGCTTACCTGTTCTTGCTCTTAGAAAATGTGAGCCATTGTTAGTTTCAGACTGAGAAGGGTTTGTCACCAAGGCTGCATCTAGTCCTCAGTACTCTTCCGTTTGGAGAGACTCTACGAGAAAATTGGGATTTCCTCTGCTCAAAACAAGAGGTCAGCACTAGGCAGCAGCTGCCCCTTCAGCCAGCTCATCCTCCCCTAGTCCCAGCTTACTCCCCTTGTTTGTGTTACCTGCCTCCTTTAGGAGTCCTACCTCAAGTCACTCGATCCTTAGCAGGATTGGTTTTTGTTCCCATTTTACACACTCTGGCAGAGTAACCTTGGGCAGTTTTCCCCTCTGAGCTTGTGTGCAGAGTGAGGGCTGGGACCTGCCTCCTGGGGAAAATGGAAATGAAATGCCACAATAGATGTCAGCCCTTAGTGTAGGCCGCCCCTTAGCACTTCATTCTTGTGTGCCAGTGCACGTGAACTTTGCCTGTGGAGAGGGCAGCTGCAGCGAGCAAACTTTCAGCCTGCCTAGCCCTCCCTCCCTGCTGGCCTGTGCTCACGCCCAACATGCCTCTGAGGGCACTGGAGAGCCAGGGTGGAGTGAACACCCTCTTCCCTGGGTTTGAGACCTGAGCAGAGGTCATGAACTAGGAAGTGTCCAAACCCTGGAGGTGGAACAAAAGTGTACTACTGCAGCTCACTGGAAGCCAGCTCTGAGGGGTAGTAGTGAGGACTGGGATGTTATTACACCCATAAGCTTGTGCAAGTTAGCAAAAGTCACCCCTCTGTGTGGGGACAACTCCCAGTCACCTGCTTGGCAGGTGCCCTTGTGTAGTATCCAACCTGCACAACCGGTCATGGCTGCTCTGCAGGGGAAGAGGAAATGACCTTTATCTCCTCTGTAAGCCACATCTCATCCTGCTTTGCTGATCTGCTTTCTCTACATACAGGAGGATCATCCTTTGAGCAGCTAAGAGAGCTGGCTCTGGAGAGACTGCTTGAGTTCAAAACCAGCCTGGTGGCCTTTAGGCATGTTAGTTCACTTTCCTGTGCCTCAGTTTTACAGCGAGGGAGAATAATAATTGTACCCACTTCGTGGTTGTGAGTTAATGCCTATGAAGAGTTTAGTACAGAGCCTGGCCCTGCTTACTCTCTTGGCAGAGCTTGTAAGAGATCATAAATTTGTTGCTGTCTCCAAATTCCATCCTGGTGGTTGCCTGTCAGGCCTGCTTGGGCTCAGGGCTGCTGTTTTCAGCTGCTTCCGTAGTCACTTCTAGACATTCCAGTATCTGTTCATGTTCTCACCCTGTGAGGTCACAGCCCTCTCTAGTCTGCTTCTCCTAAGTATTGTTAACAATGGGATACTACAGTAATAAATTCTGAATGAAGTCCTGAGGGTTCCAAGGAGTGGTGGTACAGAAATGGAGAACCTAAAGCTGCTAGGGTCCACTGGCCATACCCTTTCACTCGGAGCCCATTCTTGTCCCTTCCTGCCCCCTCTGAGCCCCTGCCCTGCTGCCCTTGGACCCTCAATAGACATGTCAGCTATTATTAGTACACTGTCCATAGATGGCTGCCAGGAAGTGGCCTCAAGGCTGGCAATTAAAAGGAGCCTTTAATTCAAACTTCACTGGCTGGGGCCATCCGCTTCATCTGAGCCCTTGGTCTGGGAAGTTTCCGAGTGTCCACTGGGAGCAGGCAGGGAGTGGCCTTCTCCCCTAGACCAGGCCCAGCACAAGAGTCTTGGGCTTGTTCTCCAAGTCAGGCAGGAGGAGGCTGCCCTGTCCCAGCCCTGCCCCAATGCAGCCCAGCAATGGAAACAGCCAACATGACTGGGAGTCTTTGGCCAGGTCCTGGCATCTCCTAGGAAAACAGGCTGCTGCCTGGGCTGTGTCCCCTTCCTCTGTTTGCCACTAGATCTCTTCACATGCCTTTAGGAGAGGTGGAGGATCCTTGTAGCTTCCATACCTGGAGGAGCTGTGTCTTCAAATCTCCACCCCCAAGTAGGTGGACTATGACAGAATCCCCTCTTTTCACACAGTTGGCCAGTTCCTGCTCTAATCTAAATCAAATCCTTACCTTCCCTGACAATCATTCTCCTCAAGTCCTTCCTATTACAGTAAACTTCTTCACACTTCCCTGATGCTCAGGTCCCAAAACCTAGGAGCCAGCTTGATTCTCCCACCAAAGTCAAAGCCATGATAGTTAAGTCCTGTCAGCTCGACTTCCCCAAATCTTCCCACTCCTCCCTCCTCCATGGGACACTGGTCTGGACCACTGTAGCAGCCTCCTCACTGGACTCAATCTTCTACAGTCTGTTCTCACATAGCCAGAGGGATCTTGCCAACGACTCAATCTGATCACAGCCCTCCCCTGCTTAAAGTCCTGCCTTAACTTTACATTGCATTTAAAATAAAATTCAAATCCCTCACCATGGTTTTAAGCCCATTCATTCATTCATTCATTCACCTAGGATTTATTAAGCTTCTACTCTGGTCCAGACACTACTGCTTCAGAGACTAGGGATACAGCAATTACCAAAACAAAGATTTCCCCCCGTCATGGACTGATATTCTTGGGGAGGAGACAGACCAGACATTGAATACATAAATCACATTGTATGTTAAATGATGATAAGTACCATGGACAAAAATTAAGCAAAGTAGGTGTGGGATGCTATTTTAAATAAGGTAGTCAGGGACAGTCTCACTGAGGAGGTGACATTTTTGCAGAGTCCCACAGGAGAGGAGGCTGTGAGCCATATGGATCCAGTATCTGGTGAAAGTGTTCCTTCCAGGTAGTGGTAACAACATGTCACCAAGAACAAAAGCCTTGAGGCTGGAGTACAGTTCCTGGTATGTTCCAGGAACATTAAGGAAGCCAGTGAGCCAGGGAGAAAGTGGGAGGTGAGCTGTGAGGGAAACAGGGACCGGAACATGGACAACCTTCTGGGTCTGGCTGAAGTCCCAGAACTTTTGGCTATTTCAAAATTTGGGCTGGGCTGGGCCTGGCTGGGCTAGGCTGGGACAGGGCAGGGCAGACTTCCTCAGTAGGCTTTTTTCTTTTCCTTGACTTTGGCTCTTACTCTGAGTGTGGAGCCACAGGAGGGTTCTAAGCAGAAGAGGGAGGGAGGGACATGATCTGACTCAGGTGTTCACAGGTTCCCTCCGACTTTGAGGGGGAGCCCGAGGCAGAGAGAAAGCTGCTGCAATGGTCCAAGGGAAGACAAGGCGAGGGCGGACAGACCAGGGTGGGGCCGTGGGTGTGGGGGGAAGTGGGTGAATTCTGTATATACTTTGAAGACAGAATGACAGAATTTCCTGAATAACTAGTTGTGGGGTGTAAAGACAAAGAGGAGTCAAAGATTTGTTGCCAGAGCAGCTGGAAGGTTGGAGGTGCCATTAACTGAGATGGGAATGACTGTAGGATGGTCTGGTTTTGGGGGAAGATCAAGAGCTCTGCTTTAGATATTTAAATTTGAGATGCCCGGGCCAGCCCGGTGGCGCACTGGAGAGTGCGCTGCGAGGGTTCGGATCCCATGTGGAGACCGGTTCCTGCTCACTGGCTGAGCGCGGTGCGGGCGCAACACCGAGGGTTGCAATCCCGTTGCCGGTCAGTAAAACAGACAAAAAGGAAAAAAAATAATAATAATAAATAAATTTGAGATGCCTGTCAATGTGGCAATGTCACTTATCTGTATTTGTTAGCTTATTTATCGTTGCCCCTCCCCACTGCAATGTTAGCCACTTGAGAACTGACCAGACATGTCATGCTCACCACTATAGGCCAGCCCCCAAGAACAGGGCCTGGCGCACAGTAGGTGCTCAATAAATGTTTTGAATGAATGAAGATAGACAAGTCCAAACATTCCTCTACCTTCCCGGTCAGCCAGTACCTATTCGAATCTAACCTAATTCCCATGTCCATTTCGTGAATCCTTCAGGTCTTTGTTCAAATGTCCGCCTTCTCCGTGAGGCCGACTCTGAGTACTTTATTTACATCCCAGCTAACGCTTGGTTTTTCTCCAAACACTTTGTCACCTTGGAATATATACTACATACCTCCTAAAATTGTTTTTGTTGTCTCCCTTCACTGGAAGGTAGTTTCATAATGGGTTGAATTCGTGCTGCTGACCCGGAACGCTGCCTCCCGCGCCTGAGCAGGTTAAGGCCCGGCGGCGAGACCCGCCTCGTGAATCATTCAGGCCCGGCCCCGCCCCCACGCGCGTGTGCGCGTCCACGAGCTGCAGGGGAGGCGGGGGAGGCGGACGCTGAGCGCCCGAGGCCTTTCTGGGCTGGCGGGGGCGCGCGCGGGGGAGGGCGGTGGCGGCGGCGGCGCGGTGCGCAGGCGCGGCGGGCAGTGCGCAGGCGCCAGTGGAGGGCGGGCTGAAGCGGCTGAAGCGGCGGCAGCGACGACGGCGGCGGCTGCGGAGGCTCGGGCAGAGGGGCGGGAGCTGAGGCGGGAGCGGACCGGCTGGTGGGCGAGCGAGAGGCGGCAGAATGGTGGACTACCACGCGGCGAACCAGTCGTACCAGTACGGCCCCAGCAGCGGAAGCAATGGCGCCGGCGGCGGGGGTAGCATGGGCGACTACATGGCCCAGGAGGACGACTGGGACCGGGACCTGCTGCTGGACCCGGCCTGGGAGAAGCAGCAGCGCAAGGTGCGCGGCCCGCGGGCCGGACGGGCTGGAGGGGGCCTTTCCAGAGGGTCCGGGGGGCTGGGAAGGGGTTCGGAGGCCCGGAGAGGTCATTGGGGGGTCTGAGACGGCAATTGGGGGTCCTGGAAAGGAATTGGCGGGTCTGGGAAGGGATTCGGAGTCCTGAAAAGGAATCGCAGAGCTTGAGGAAGGAATTGGGAATCTGAAAAAATAATTGGCGGCCATGTAGGGAATATGGGAGTCGAAAAAAGGGAATCAGGAAGACCGATAAAGGATTTGGAGGTTCTAGGAGGGGAATTGGGGGAAACTGAGGAGATGATTGGGGAGGCTTAAATGGAATTGGGATCTGAGGCGGGATTGAAGGATCAGAGGATGGGCTGGGGTCCTGAGAGAAGAAATGGAGTCTGGGAAGGGAATTCTTGGGTCGGGGTAGAATTAGGGTTCTGAGGAGTCTGAAGAGGAGCACGAGTATGGAGGGGGTTATCTGGAATGCAGAAAGGTCTGAAGAAGATTGGAATTGGGGGAGCCTTAAGCTGAGGGAGTTCTAAGAGGGATGAAGAATCAGGAAGTCTGAAGATGGAGTGGGGGTACCAAGGAAGGGATTGTGGAGTCTGATGAGGTGGGAGGACTAGGGAGGCCAGAAGACGAAAGGAGTAGAGGAACTAGGGAAAGACATGGGGCTCAGGGTGTGAGGAGGGGTTGGGGTGCTGAGGGGAGAAGTTAGGGGCCTGTGAATAAGACGTTTTTGAAGGGGGTGAGATTTATTTGGGGTACAGTGTCCTACAGGGAAGAGGAGAAGAATGGGAGGTAGAAATAAGAAGAATTGAGGGATGGAGAAGCCCGAGGGGGATATGGAGAGTATTTAGGGGTACTTTGAAGAATTGGTGAGAGGTTGAAAAGGTCAGTAAAGTGTTGGAGGAGCCTGAGGAAAATGTGGTCTAGGAAAGGTGAGCATGGAGGGAGGGAATGTGAGCCGGAATGGCGGATAATAGGAGGGAGGTTAGTTTAGGAAAATGAAAGTCTCCTTAGAAAGGAAATGTGTGATGTATAGACTGAGAAAGGAATCTGGGGTGGGGGGTGCTTCTGGAGACGCAGTCCTGAGACTGGAGAGTGTGCATGTGTTGTGAAGGGAGAATAAGGAGATTTGGGAGGAAAAACTGTGTCTTTTTTGGAGGGGGGTGGACAAGTGAAGGGATCCTTAAACAGAGTCTGTTTTCAGGTGGCACTTTGGAGTATGGGAGCAAATTGGGGGCGACCCACAGTAGTGAAAGGGCTATCAGAAGTAGAGTGGAGGGCCCAGGGAAGGTGTTTGGGAGCTGGGATAATCCAATGTGGTTGAATGGTGAGCTCTGAGTCGATGTAAGAGAGGGTTTGAGTGTGTGCAGGAAGAGCTAAAGAAAGGAGTGTTTTGAGTGGGTGTGTGTGGGGGGGTTGTTCAGAAGTGTGTGTGAAGAGGGTGGGAGGTACTTGAAGTTAGAGGCTTTTAATGTGTTCTGGAGATCTGGATTTTCTTCCCAGATTTGTTACTAATCAGCTCTCTGGCCTTCAAGACCCTTGATCTTTCAGTGTAGTTCTTTCATCTGTAAAATGAGAAGGAATTGAAGGGGTCCCTTTGGTGATTCCACAAAGACCGGATGTGTATGGATTTGGGACTTTGGGAGAGGGCTCTGAAGATTTGGGAGAGTGGGTTTGGTGGAGATTTTTCAGGAACATGGGGACAGATTCAAGGGGTTTGAGTGGTGAGCTGAGGAAAGAGAGTGGAGAGTGACTGGAAGCCTCTTGAGGGTGTGAGTTGGTGCTTTGGGGCTTGGCACAGGCAGCCCAGTCTGGAAGAAAAAGGGTGGAAGGAGCAGCTGTTCCAAGGCAGCCTGAGGTGGGGCCTGCCATAACCCTGGGGAAATTACCAATGACCGCTTGAATTTCCTCATCAGTAGTAACTGGAGGTGGGAGAGTAGCAGCGACTTGGTGGGGGTGGTGTCCTTATCCATTGCCCCACCTGCCTCAGTGTGGACATGTTGAGACAGCCTACATAAAAATGTTTTTTTGAGGGGAAGGGGAGATCTAGTCTGTAGCCTCAACAATGATTTATTGCCTGAGGCAGTGTCAGGTTGGAAAAGGTTAGAAGTTGTCAAGAGACTTGGAAAGTTAGGAGGGGAACAGGGGGCCACAGCATTGTTTTTGAGAAGGTCTGGGATCTGTCTTCTTCAGCTCTAGGTGCTTGGGGAAATGAGCCCCAGACTCTCTTTTTCTCAGGTGATGGGAGTGTGGGGCCTTCCTTCTCTCCTACTTCCTGAGTTCTACCACTCCCCAAGTGACTCCTTTTGCTAGCTCTGTTCCACTCCTTTCTTGGAGTTAGGGTGTGGTTATAGTCTCCTGTGCCCACAGGGTGAGGCTGGGGCACCATTCAGGTCCTGGGTGGGAACCAGGACTCACTGGAACCCCGAAAGCCTTGCTGCCTTGTTTTATTCTCCCTTTTACCTCCCAGCTCTCTTCCTTCAGGGCCAGGCAAGGTTGAAGAAAATGGTGGCTCACAGCGTCCTCTAGTACGAGCTGCTTTAGATTCTCAGTAAGGGCCAAATTCTAGTACATCCTGCATTATACCTACTTCAGCAAGTACTTACTTAGCTGTTCTTTGGGGAAATAGTATTACTTCATCTCTCTGCCCTTCACTGCTGTGCTCTTTCTCTTTAGGAGGTAGGGATCCTTTGTGAAATGGGGGAAAGTGTAGTGGGAAAGATACACTAATTTGTGCTGTTCTCTCCCTTCCTTCCAAGAGAATCAGTGCCACCCACTGCTAGCTGGGTTTTTTCTACCTTGCAATGTCACTTTAGTGAGTGACAGATTGCCCTTCTTGCCTCTCCAAAGCCAAGCCCACTGGGCATAAGGAAAGTGACAGTCCTGTCAGTGTCCTGTACACACACACTCACATACTCTAAAAATCTGTGTCCAGGACAGCTGTAGGTCCTTAAAGTGTGCATAATTGAATTCTCCTAGGAATTAAGCAAGGGTTGGCCCAAGTCAGAGTGTGTGTCTCATTTCTACCTGGAAGCCTTTGCTCTGGCTTCTAGGGCCCCTGTAACCAAGGTATTATCTAACAGGTAGGTTATGCAATAGTTTTTTTTTGAGACCGGCCGCACCGTGCTCAGCCAGTGAGCGCACTGGCCATCCCTATATAGGATCCGAACCCGCGGCGGGAGCACTGCTGCGCTCCCAGCGCTGCACTCTCCCCAGTGCGCCATGGGCTCGGCCCAATGCAATAGTTTTTACATAGGAAGGCCCTAAGTGTTCTCCTGGAGGGCTGGAGAAGAACTGATTTGGTCTTTGAGCAAATTCTTGAGTAACTATTGTTCAGGGCCACAGTTCCCTCTCCCACTTTCTAAAAAGGGCCTGGGTAGCCTTGCCACCCTGTTCTTCTAGAAGGGTGAAATCTCTTGACGGTTACTCCAAAACTTTTCATCATAGCAAGAGGAAGTGCCTCTTTTACTAGGCTTGAATGTTAATTGAAACATCACTATTTGCAGGGCCTCAGTGTTTAGACCCTGACCTTTGGCTAGGGCTGTATTAGGTTTGAGTTAATTATTTGAAAGTTCTGATGGTGCTTTGTTTTTCGCCAAATAGGTCTTGCCTTTTTTTTTTTTTTTTAAAGGCTGATGAAGGAGGCCCCAAAGTAGCCATCTGTTATTTTGTTCCATTACTCTAATTGCTTTCCTCTTAGGATCTGGCTAAGATTAACAGGTCCTTAGTTTTCAAAATTGAATAATGTATTTACAAAAAAAAAAAGGTAACTCAACTCAATTGTCATCTAGAAATACATCTGTAAGTATATAAGGGGGCAAATATACTCTGTTCATGGGTAGGGAAGCTACTCAGCTGCTAGCACTGTCCCTCCCCCCTCCCCCAGAAATGAGTTTTAGAATATGACTTTTCTAATGACTGAAGAAGAGGTAAGGTCTGGGAGGATGGCCTGGGAGTGCAGTGCAGGGCCACTCACACTCACCTGGCAGACAGTTGAGATCCGGTTGGTGCTGTGGAGTGGCGCCTGCCACCTCACCTAATCCTAGGCAGTCCAGGGCGTGGGCCAGGAATTGCCCTATGTCTTTTGAAACACCCTCCCTGGTTCCGGCTTCCCAGACCAGCAGGGAGCTTTGGCAGCAGGGAGCTGATTCACCCTCCAGTTGGAACTGGTGCTAAAAGCTTTCATTTAATGGCAGCCAATTGCTTGACCTCAGTGTGGGGAAAATTTGGTGAAAGTGTTGGAGGAAAACAGCCCAGGAAATGAGGATGGTGTCGTTATATTCAGGTGCTGGTGGTGCTATTAAACTCCTGAGATGCAGTCAGAGAGGTCAGTTAAAATGTAGGTCCTCGGGGCCGGCCCAGTGGCGCACTGGATAGTGCGCCGCTTGGGAAGCGCGGCGGCGCTCCCGCCTGAGGGTTCGGATCCCACGTACAGACCGGTTCCCGCTTGAGCGAGGTGCGGGAGCAACACCGAGGGTTGCGATCCCGTTGCCGGTCCCCGGTCCGGTACGGGGGCAACACTGAGGGTTGCGATCCGTTGCCGGACACGGAAAAAGACAAAAGACAAAAAAAAAAAATGTAGGTCCTTGTTCATGGCTTATCTAGAAGAGTCTCCCCCCACCCCCCCAGAAAAAGTAAGCTCGCACTCTCAAAATGTCCTCTTAATCAGATGGCAGGGGAGCAGGGACAAGTCTGTGCCATTTCAACATATACTCCAGTCATGGCAGACTCTGGACAGAGCCCTTTTTCAGAGTTAACTGAGTGTGTAGTACAAGTTATCTGGCAGTGCTATCTAACAGATGACAGCAGAGAGAATGGAGCCAAAAAAGAATTGATTTGGGAAGGCCTAAGGAATTTGAGACTGTTGAGATGAACACTTTAGGCTTTTGCTATACTGATTTATAGTGTTCTGGGAATTGTATGAGCCTTTGACCAGATCTTAAGGTAGTTCTTTAAAAAACGGTTCCCTTGCTGCTGCATTTATTTTT